CCCGGCTGGCCTCTATTTCTATACTATCTAGGCTAATTATAAATCCCAGGAACTCTATTTTTTCTATATTAAACTTGTATTTTGCCAAGTTTATAAAGAGCTAGTATTACTATAATTACTTGAGTATATATTAGACTATTATTATATACTATTCTAGGTTCTCTAAATAAATTAAAATATTATCTAGATAGATTATATAAATAATGTTTATAAGGCCTACTAGTATATAGTTAATATATGCCTGGAATATTACTAGAGTATTAGATAGTCTAAAGGGCATAATATAGTACTTAAAATATCTATAGTATATTCGGAATACCGTCTTTTACTTATTGCCTTCCCGTATTTATAACTAATAGTAAGTATTTTTTAAGTCTAGCTTTATATATATCTTTGCTTCGTAAAGCCTGTTTATTATCTTACTAATAAGTAGTAATAGTATTCGGTTTTTAATAGTAATCCTATTTAGATCCCGGTAATTAATATATAGATATAGGCCGTCTCCTTTTTTTGGAATAAATATAATTGGGGTACTAGCTAGACTAGTAAAATAACGGATTTACCTCTTTTCTAAGCTAGTATTAAGATATTCCTAAAGGACTTTAAGCTCTCTTTCTAATAAAGTATATATAGGACCATATAGTAATTAAGATCCTGGTTCCAGATTTATATAATACTTTATTATATAGTAGTTAGGTAATATACCTATAGTTTCTATAGAGAATACTTAAAGAAGGTCCTAATACTTCCTGGGAAGTATAGCTATCCCGTTTATAGTAATAGCGGCAATTTTTTAGCTATTTATTATAGGATAGGCGGTTAATAGAAAAACATATGTTTTATACTTTACTACTTTAGTAAACTTCCTGGTATTTAGAACTTTAATTTTCTATAGTTAAATCTGGTATTTCTATATTGCTTTCCTAAAGGAAATTAGGGAATTAATCTAGTAAAGCTATAGGAATCCAAGTATTATATTAATATAGTTTAGATTAAAATTATATAATATAAAGTATATATTAGCCTTCTTTTAATTCTCTAGTATATTCTTAGTAGTAATCCTAAGAATATAATCTCTATATAAATGAATTCTCTTTTTCTCTAGCGAGAATAAGGAAGTTGCCCTTAATATTAACGGAATACCTATATCTAAGGCTAATTTCCTCTTTATATAATTGGCCTTTATACCCGAGTTAACTAATATTCTAACCCTTTGCCTATCTTTCCTTATCTTAATAATAACCTTAATTACTATTCTCGTTTTAGGGGCCTTATTCTCCGTAGTATAAACGAGTATAACTACTATAGGGTATATCCGTTTCCTGGCTTCTTTAGTTCTAGGTACTTATATGTCTTGTGGCTAGACTTATTATAGTTATAGCAAGTCGGTTTTCCCCGATTTAGGCAAGTAATAGTATAGTAACCCTTTTTCTAGTAAGTAAAGCAAGTTATACCCGGTCTTATAGATCCTAATACGGGTACTATATTAGATCCCGTTACTATGCTTTTGTTATCCCGGTTATGTGAACCTTATAATAGGAATATACTTCTCTTTTATTTCTTTTTATTATTTCCTCTTTCCTTTCTCTAATTTCTTTTCTTTTATTAACCCGTTAGCTTATTATTATATTCCCGTTAAGCAGACTAGTTTAAGTTATTTTCGACCCTTATAGCCACAGAAATAAGCTTCTCTCTTTCTTATAGAGTATTCTCTTAGTAATTAATCTTGTTCCGAATCTCCTGCCTTAAGCTACTAAATAAGTTATCCCGTTCTTGCGGTAAACCCGTATATCCTAAGTTATCTAATAGGCTATCTAAATAGGATATAAAGCTTTAGATACTTTAACCTGGCTATTATTTTATATCCTTGAACTTGGCAAGGGCATTATTACTATAGTTCTCCGGATTCAAGATAGAATTCTTTATAAACTTAATAAAGGTCTCCTAATCCGTAGTATTAATGCCTACTAATTACTTCCTATATTTCCAGATATTCCTGGCTATATTCTTAAAGTAGGAAGCATAATACGTAACCTTTACTATATCTATAGCCCAGGTAATTCCGCCGTCTTTATACTATTTTAGCTCTGCCTAATAGAAGAAGTCCTGGGCTTCCTTAATACTCTTCCTCTTATAGGTTAGTAATTCTCGGGTTTTTGGAGCCCTGTAAACTAAATATATTACCGGTAGTATAATAGGTTCTATAATAAGTACCCAAATATTCTTAAGATAGCGAATCTGAGCTTCCAAATCCTCTAGATTCTCCCTCTATTATATCTCTGCTTCTAACTTAGTAATGCGATAATAAGCCGCCGCTAGCTTCTCTATTATTATTATCCTGCTAGCTAGTTCTGGGAGTATCTGAGTTCCACTTCCTTCTCCTAATTAGGCAGTAGCTAGAGTAGCTAACTGGGTGCTTCCCTGGATACCCGACTAGGTCGCCCTAGTAATAGCAGAGGCGCTTCTTCTAGTTAATGCTCTAGCCATTAGTGGTTTTGTCTATTAATGGCTTAACTACCTCGTAACGAACTGCTCCCCGAAGATTGGATTAATTAGAATATAAGGCACGTAATAGCAGGGTAATATATAAGTAGTCAAGGTAAGTAAGCTACGGAGTAATGCTTGCAAGTATAACTAATTCCAAGAATTAATTCTAATAAGAGACTAATTAATGCCCCTTCTAAAGCTAGGAGTGTCTTCCTATATATTCCCTAGTACTTAGCCAGGCATGCGAAGCCCTTTACTTAATTAGGAAATCCTATGCGATCCATATGATTCCGATCATAAGCTATATCCAAAATAGGAAACTAGATCCACGATATCTAATACCTGTCCATGCGCTATTACGTGTACCTATTACAAAAATAATAATTCTTAAAAGTAAAAGAAAAATAACTTATTTATTTATTTATAATTAATTTAATAAAGCTATTATAATTCTAATATTATAATATAAGTGTTTTTCTTTTATAATTATATTAATATTATGTGGCGCCAGTCACGTGGTGCCACTGCACGTGACTTAGCATATAGCTAGTGCTTTTAGCCCGGTATATAGCCTTTAACTTAATTCAAGCTTTTTACTAGTACTATAATATTACCTTATTATAATAATTAATTTTTCTCGATCTTATTTAGAAAGCTTAGCTATTATATAATTATATATAATAAAAGTTAAAGAAATTTAAAGAAAATTATTTAAAGAAAAAATAGCTTATAATAATTAATATTTTTTTATAATATAGGCTAAAAATCAAGGGCTTTTATATTCTTGGGCTAAAACTAAATTATATTAACTATTTGAGTCTCGAATTAGTAATTTATTATATAAAGAGATTTTTCTTTATTAATTTTATAATTTTATTATATCTCATTATTATATTCTTTTATATTATTATTATATCTTGCCTTATATATCCGAATATATATATATAAAGTAATAAGAATGTATTTATTAGAGCTAAAGAAAGAATAATTCTAGATTCGAGAATATTTAAAGTATAGAAAGAAAAAGAGGAAAATAGGAAAGAGAATATAAGAAAGAAAAAAAAAGAGAAAGAAAAGAAGACTAATATTATATCTTTATATATATCTATATACTATTATAGAAAACGAGCTTTTTACTCTATTATAAAAGTTATTAAGAAGGCTTTTAACTTATATTTAATTATCTGAATTTGTATTTTAAAGGGCTTAGAAATATACTTTATAAATAAATATATAAAAGGGATATTATTCTATTTATTAGAAAAGATTAGTTCTTATAAGGCCTTATAGCTATATATTATTATAATATAAACTGCTTTCTAAGGTTTAGAAAAGTACTAAAATATTGCGAAATAAGAAATCTAGAATTATTAGAAAAAGAGAGATCTTTTTCCTCTTATACTTTTAGTACCTTCTTTTAATAGAACTTTATATTAAATTCTTAGCTTAGTATATTCTAATATTCTTTGAGAAGTCGCGGCCAATTATAGCCCCTAAATATAGAAAGCTTTCTAGTATATATATTGCGTTATTTATTTATTATAATAGACAATCTATTTATTATTCTATTAATAAAAGAACTTGGCTACTATTAATGGAAGAAATAGTAAGTAGTACCCTGAATAAGATAGAGCGGTCAAGCTAATCTCACTATAGCAGCAGTTATATCCGCTCCCAACCAATTTGCTTCCGCACAACATCGATGCCGAGCTTCAATTGCGACGGTCAAATAAGACCTCAACTTTATCGCAGGCGAAGAGTAGGCAATCTCGGCATGAAGGTGAGGTGCAAATGGATATGGAGCATGAAGGTTGAAGAGGGTTGCCATGATGCAGCTAGTACGTGGCATGCTCCGTCAATAGGAATCTAGGATGAAGTGGGGCCCGAACATCGCCGCTCTTCCTGGGAACATTCAGAATGGCAGCCATCAAACAGCAATCACAGGTGTTTGCAGATCAGGGAGGAATTCTACCGCCGTGAAGCATGCGACTTGCAAGCCTCGTTCGTGTGCAGTAATTGAGCGAATGAGAGGATACAAATAGCAATTTTGAACATTAGCACGAGTACAAGGTGTTTGAGAAGGAGAGTCCAAGTCCGATCTATTTCGGGGCGCCTGCACCTATATAAATGCCCGTAGCGTGATAACAAAAGCCGGGTCCTTCATCCCCAAATGCCACTACCTTCCCTCTCCTCTTCTGTCTCCTCAACCCTCCACGATAACAGAGTGATGTCGCTCTCGGGAAAGGCTTCTCGCACATTAAACCTGACGCGACTTGTCTTCGGGAACTTATGTTGTGACACAGAACGATAACTGGAGTCACGAACACATTTAGAGATAAGTGGGAAACGTGGGACGTGCAATAATAACTGTACCCTTTCCAGATTATTTCTACGCGTTCTTTCTCACGAACATCCTACCCTCATTACCTTTACTAATACCTCTGCTAGTTCTAAAATGAAATGTGGCAATATGCCTGGAGTTTCTTGCTCTTAGAGCCACTGGGTGACCCGTCTTAGCTTTCGTCTGCGAAGGTAGGTTTCAATCCCAGTGTCTTGTTCATATTTGTCTCCTCTTTCTTTGATTCTTCCAGCAAGCCCTCGGCTTCTGTCATCTTGGTCTTAAAGTCCTGGCCAGGTTTGAACAATGTCCACAGTGCCAATGCAAAAGACAGAGTATGGATTGCAACCTGTAGAAGATTGAGGATCCACGCAGCTTGCTGTTCTCAATGTCAGCTTTGTAGATAGCAAGAGGTCCCTCTATCTTGTGTGGCAAGGAAATTGAAGCATACATTGCTTGAACAGAGCGTGCTGGAGTTGTTCACTGCACCCATGTTATCTGCCGCAGGAGAACAGGCCCACCCCCACAAATCCGCACCGTTGGATGTATCCTTAGCATGTTTGAAAATTCCCGCACCCGCTGCTCCAGCTACTGCTTGTATAATTCCCATAGCGCTGCGGACACGCTGTACCATCCGTCTCGCACTAGCAGCGGCTCGGCCGTGACAGGAATGGATGCCCAGTGTAATAACATCTGCGGTGACTGTCAGACATGCCATGCTTAACAGTACGATGGTGGGGCTGAGCTGGGCCACTTCAGGCCAGGCGCCGTTGATGTGCTTGGTCTTCGAATACGCGACGAGGGTGAGTATTGAGACGGCGATAATGGCGAGAGCAGATGATGCTGTCAACGTATGTTGGCCAATCACCCAGATTCGTTCCTTGCGGAGATTGGATTTCTATACGCAATATATGAGCTTCTTGCGTTGATGTTCTGTTGACTTGGGTTCACACTCACATCTTTTGAAGTATCCAGCTTTTCAACCTGGGGCTCGTCGGCTGATGACTCTTTGCTCTTTGTAGTATTGTCTGGTATCATGCTAATCCTGATTTCTCCCTGCCGCATGTCTACTTCACTAGTCGAGCCATCGCGGTTTTGGATTGTGATCTTCCAGTCCGGTGCTGAGAATTTGGGTGAGCTTGTCTCTCTCGGGGTTGTCGGTGCAAGTGTTGTAACTTCATCAACCCAAGCGGATGTTGGAGAAGTCAGTTCTTTTAGTGAAGTTGGCATAGAGGTTGTTTCCGGAGACGAAGTTGGAGCTCTAATTGGGTCCATCGCGAATGTAATTTATGGAAGGAAAATTCTTCAAAAGCAGAACGCCGGGCAGAGCTGATATGATGAAATTGAAGGAAATTTGGTGTCTTTTGAACGTCTGTCGAGGAGGTTCAAGAGTAGAAAGCTAACAGAACTGATATAATGAAATTGAAGGAAATTTGGTGTCTTTTGAACGTCTGTCGAGGAGGTTCAAGAGTAGAAAGCTAACAGAACTGATATGATGAAATTGAAGGAAATTTGGTGTCTTTTGAACGTCTGTCGAGGAGGTTCAAGAGTAGAAAGCTAACAGAACTGATATAATGAAATTGAAGGAAATTTGGTGTCTTTTGAACGTCTGTCGAGGGGGTTCAAGAGTAGAAAGCCGAACAGAACTGGTGAGATGAATTCAGGGAAAATTGCTGTCTTTTGAACATCTGTCGAGGAGGTGTAGGATGGGGCCGGGATCTTGGCTTCCCGTCCAGCAATTCTGCTCAGCCCAGCATCAGCCTTACAGTTTCTAAATCGGCACCGATAATCCACCCAGGTCGCACAAGAACATAATTGTCACCAGTAAGGAGAGTCTGAAATCTCCAACTGAATTTGGTGGATGACTGCCGAACTGGAACCACTGCAATGGAGACGACCTTGATTTCAAGCCTCACGCTATATTCTTCTCAAAATACAACAATGACTCTATTATAAGTCACCGCTGTGAACCCTTCAAGTGCCAATTGGCTTGGGCTTCATATTCCTTTTCATTCTCATGTATGTCTTACTTCGTTGGGATATCTTCGATGTGACTCGCCTAACGCAAGCCACATCAGGCAGGCGGAGTTTTTCAGCCCAAGCCACTCGAGTTTGACAACGAATGATTAGACAGGACCCGAGCGAGAACACGGACCCCTGTTTATCGATGGCCCCGTCTGGTAATCCCAAGTTATCCGGTGGATCCCGTCGGGAGGAGCTGCGTCGTCAGTTAATCCTCCACGCGAGGTATGGAAGCGACAGGGTAGTGATTACAGGGTGCCGCCTAAGGCGAGGCCACTGATTCCCCTAGGACTCCCTGCCAAGGCCCCTCGCGTCGCGATTTTTCGGGGCTATGTGTTAAGTTCGGGTCCTCGAGAGTCAGTACCCGCTAGAATGTAAGACGCCTGTTCCAATGGAATCGGTAAGGACCCGTCCTAAACCCCTAAGGGTCCTCAAGTGTCCCCTTACGCGACCGGGTCGGGCCCTCGAAGAACCGGCAACCCTGTCGCGAAGGACCGTGAAAAACCCACCCAGCACGCCCCCGACGACTGTTGGTTAAATCACATGGCATTGAACACTTTCGTGAAGTCGCTTAGCCAGCCATTTAAAACTCTAAACCGTTAAAAAGAGGATTCGTCCCCGAAACCGCCCGCTCGCATCAACCCATTACGGCATAGTTCTAATTGGACCGGCCGTTCCAATCGAGTTCGCTAGAGGGCAACTTTTACTAATCCCTCTGGACCGTCGCGAAGGTCGGGGTTAGCCGACTTACAGAGACCCGGCTCACATTCAGCAGTCGGGATTTAGAACACATTGGGAAGCTGCCTTTACAGAGTCGTACAAAAGTTAAGT